TTCCCTCCCTGCCACACGACACAGAAAGGCTTCATTGTAGCGACTCAGCTCTTCATGCTGCTCAACAAATGCACATCTGTCTTTCAGGGCATTGTTATGCACAATCTCACCCTTATTATCCAGCACAGGTGGTAAATGTGTAGTCAGACTACTACACACCGTGGTCTCCCCACACAGGCAAAGTGGAAAAGTAAAGGAAAACAATTGAGTCCTTGACCCAAACAGTGGCTCTGTTTGGCTGTGGGGGCATTTTGCTGGTATGGTTTGCAGTTCTTCTTTATCCATAGAGGAACGTGCAATACAGGATGATACTATCTCAGTATTTTAAGATGACAGCAAATCACTCTTTAAAACAAACTCTTTTATACCAAAAACGAATCCACAAAGACCACGTAAATAGTCTGAAAGCAGTGAGTCAAAGGAAAAGCAGAGCTTAAGCAGAAGACTGTGTTTGTACATGACAAGGTTGTGTCACACCTATTACACAAGTCCCGTCAACAACCAGTGGTACATCCCAGAGGGACTTGTTTTATATTCCTCCAGCCTAACATGAAACTACATCTTGAAAGCAGAAATCAAATACAGAATCAATAGAAAGTCCTGGGGAAATACCATTTAGCCTTGTGCTAAACTGAAAGAGCAGGATTTCCAGACAGAAGTTCTTCTATGTACATAATAGTATGCCCGCCATTATGGCAGCATTGGGACCCCCGGGGATGTACGAGCATTCAGAAGAAGGCACTGGCTAAGAATGGAGTCATGTTGTACTATTACAGCATGGCTCCATCACAGATAAAACGCAAATGTAAACAAAGAATTTAAGCAGAAAACTGTGAGTGGCATTTGACATTTCATGCGTCACAGTTTTTCTTGCTCTTTCTGCAAAATCGTAAACAGTTTCCATCTATTTAGAAACAATTTGCCGACTTCATTTGAACTCTTTTGCAAACCTGGTCTCACCCAGTAAAACATATTTTTGCAAAGAGATGCTCTTCTACTTTATAATGCTACAGCAGAGTTGTGTTTAACATTTCACATCTTACCCAATATCACATTTACTTAACTTCTTACTTGATTCACACTTCTTGTAATCATGCTGGATAAGTAAGAAGTGAAACTGGACACTTTCAAAAGGAAATAACAGTATTACACAAAGTCATGTGAAAAAGAAACATTTCACAGGACTCTATGCAGTCCTCTGCAAACTAATTACACCCTTGCTGCTTCCATAGGAATTAAGAGGGTAAGCAGCAGCCAGAAGCTGCTAATTACATGAATTTGATTAATTGATTATCCAGCAACTGTGACCACTGCTATAAATATAGATCTTTAAATCTGATGTTTTGGTAGTTTGATAGTCTGAAGCATTCAGGCATGCTAACACAAAGCCAAAATGTTCCCACGAGTGGACCTAAAAGACCCGAAGGTTAGAGCACACAACGTTCAGAAAAAGTGCAGAAAACACAAGGGCTACATCTCAGATTCTACTGGCCCCATTTATCATGTTAAATGTTAAAATTCATGACAGTACAAATAGAAACAAGTATGGCGTCTTTGAAACCGTTACCAGGAGAAAGTCTTTTCTCTCTATAAAAACATGGCAGCACAGCTTAATCAGAATCAGAATCAGAATACTTTATTAATCCCGAAGGAAATTAGGGTTACAGCAGGCAGCACGCTAATGGCGCATGCCAAGTTTGCAAAGTTGGATCTGAACAAACAATAAAGCTTCTGCAACAACGTCTTTTAGGTAGACCATCCAAAAATGGAGATGTGCCATGATGCACAGCACCATGTTTGGAGAAAATCAAACACAGTGTATCAGGCGCAAACACTTCAAGTATGGTGGTGGAGGGAGCATGATTTGGTTTGTTTGCAGCCAAAACCACCAACAACCATGAGCTCCTCTATATGCCAGAGTATTCCAGAGTCAAATGTGAGGCCATCTATTAAACAGCTGCAGCTTACATACAATTCGTTCACGCAACAGGACAATAATCCCAAACATACAGGCGAATCTGCAACCGAATGACTGAAAATTTTATAAAAGAAAAAGAAAAAAAATAAATCAAGGTGTCGCAATGGCCCAGTCAAAGAGATTTGCCGACTGACATGGTGCAATAAGACCTCAAGAGAACTGAATAAGGTCTCTTCAAGAAATGAATGTCCAAACTTCAATGATTTTGAAGCAGCTTTTGAATGAGGAGCAGGCCTCCACAACAATGTGAGAGACTGATATTGTCACAGTCTGGCAGTTCTCCACTGTTGTGTATGTGTGATGTTTTGTGTGTTTCTCCCTTCCTCCCCTCCCTGTGTTTATGTTTTGTTACAGGACGATCGGGACCCGGAAGCTTGGGCACCGAGGGCAGTTCATCCTGGAAGCGTTCCCGCGCTGGAGCTTGCCACACCTGCAGCTCATCAGCTGCCAGGTGTAGCTGATTACAGTCTGCACCAGCGTCCCTTCTTAAACAAGTAGCTGAGCTTCAGTCGACGCTGGATCGTTGAGTTCGACTCATTAGCACAGCCACGGCTTTCTATTTTTGAAAACCTCTTTACCGAAAGGTACCTAGTCATCGTTTGTGTTTTGGAATTTTTTCACTAGGAGTCGAGAGCGGGGTGTTCCACGGGAGCAGAGCCACAGCAGGGGATCAGAGTTCCTTGTCGTCACGATTCACGCCATGCACGTTTGCACTGTGAGGAATTCGGGAGGAATCATCTTGGGAGCCACACTGCTGGAGCTTGCACATTTATTGTTCACTGTAAATGAATGAACTGCCTTTTTAGAGTTAAGCGTTTGGGTCCTCTCCTTACCTCAGACGTGACAGATATACAGAAAACAATTACTTCAATTCAATGACTTAAGTAGCTGCAGCTAAAATGGCTCTGCAAGCTATTAAATAATGGGGTGTACTTAGGTTTCTATTTCGTTTTTCACATGACTGTAAAAATAATCCCCTGATAAAATCAAGTTAGTGCTGCTAAAGATTGTTCTGCAGGCTACTGAATCGTGGGATGTGAAAGCTTTCTTTTTTACATGACTGTATATAAATCCTGTAAGATACAAAACACATATAAAACATACACACTTACAACATGTGTTGTTCTATTTCTTTTTCTTATGTGAATGCAAGATGAGCTGAACAATCCATTCCCAGCTGATGCTCGTTTACTGTAATCTTGACTCTTTACTGTGTTTCTGTATATCACTTAAGTCCCCCAATACAACTGTCCTCCGTTAAGTGCCGGTATTGGGGGAGTCCAATTTGTAATTTTTACTCCATATATTTTCAAACTTTATAGAATTGCAAGAGTTTTGATGTGTTTAATAGTTTTACCACATTTTGAGAACACGTTGGAAGGATTCAATAAACTGTAAGAGTGACGCTGCATATTTTAACTGTGAAAACCAGGAAGTTTAATAAAATAAACATAGCATAATTACATTTATTTAGTTAACTATCTGACCACTGACACCTCAATAATGAGGGCTAAATTTGTGGCCAATTCTCACAGGAAAGCAGAGAGCTTTGAATTGCAGTGGATCTAAAATTAGCTCCAACCAGTGACCCAACACTGACTTCACGCCTTCCTCAACATATGAAGAGGAACAAGTGTGGGAGCTGTCAGCCCACAGGGTACTGAAATACACCAACAGTTAAATGTTAAGGATAACTTCATCAGAAATAATTTATGCTAACTTGTCAAATGTTACATTAAAGCCACCACCTTGGAAAGGAAATTAACTGAATACATTAACTGCAATCTACAAGCTTCATCTACATAAAATGGGACAGGGTGAAAAAACATGGACAGTGTGGACAGTGCTCAGTCCACAGTTGCACAAAGCTCTGAATGAAAAGTGATTTACAAACAGAAAAAGGGCAGAAAGCCTTTGGCTTAATGAAATCATTTGCTTACTATGCAAAGCATTTTGCACAGAGCACAGGGGACATAGTAAAAAAAAACAACATCAGCAAACGCCTGTAGTTTGTAAAAATGTGAACCTCTCTTCAGTGCTACTAGCATTTGTGGAATGGTTGAAATAAGGTTAAATTTCTCACACGAAACCTTTACTCAAATGTAATAAAGTATATTACTACTACACATCACAAGATGTATAAAAATAAGAGATTAAACATATCATATTTATATTTATGTCAAAAACCGTGTGTCTGGCATATGGCCTACAGGCAGGATGACATTCAGAATATGTTAAGCTTGTTATTAACATGTAATCCATCTGCGCGGATGGGAATGGTCACTAGCAGGGTGCCCTGTCGGCATGTGGTCTGCAAGTGGCACACTCGACTGCAAAAAGCACAGAATCAATCCAGTCTTCAAGCTCCGTATTCATCATATAATTAAAGCTTCTCATTGCTCACCCATATGTTGGCGCAAATAAAATAGGGGTTCTTGCAAAGCTGGTCTGAACTAAAACGCTTTGCTGCACAAGAGTAAAAGGGGGAATCTATGCATGTCACAGCAAAGTAGTCAATATGGTATCTTCCAGATCAGTGGTGGTATTATAGGCCATCCCCCCTTCTTTTTTAAAATATCTTCCTCGTATTTAAAGATTAGCACCAAATACGATTACTTACAATCTCGCGTGTAATATATCGGCTTTTCAAGAAAACTGCTTGTGCTCGCAAATGAAATGTCACATAGCCTGAGCAGGTGTTTTCCTGCCATGAATGAGTTGCTAGCAAGCAGTAGCTAACGCTAGGCTGCTATTGCATAGGTCAGGTGGAAGAATCAAAGCACAAGGAAACAATCTGGCAGTGTGACCATCCAGCTAACTTTCAGCGTCACTGCAGCGTTTACAGTGTAGTCGAATGAGAGCATTTTTATTCAATTTTGTAACATAAAAACAAATAATATATTCCCTAATGACACAATTACTCAAAGACAACATAATGACCCCCAGGCTATTCTACAGCTAGCTTAGCTGTAATCCTAGCGAAGAATGCACAGGCGAAAGCAAAGTAGCCCCTCAACGTTACCTTATTTATTCCGAGCGCTGGCAGTGTAGCTTCTGCTGCTCTCATCCGGACGACACAGCCACCGTTTGGAGAAGTCTTTGCAGAAGCCCTCCAGTCACTGGAATGTTTACAAGACTTTAGCAGTGCCTGCTTCGTGTTACCGCCACTAAACAACAAACAGACGTTGGCTGACAGACAACAAAAATCTGTATATTGTAGTGCTCTTGTGTGCTAGGAGTGCTGGAGCGAGTCCATGGGCAAAACCATTCGGTGTGTAAGAGTGGGGGGGAAGCCTGAAGGAAGTGCTGAAGTTTGCATTCGCAATTTGGCAACTACGTGACATTTAGCACCCTGAGCGACTTATATGTTAAGTCAGCACATATTATATTTATCTACTAAGTAGCTGTGAAGGAAGGGAAAAGTGATACCACTACTGCGAATGAGATTTCGTACATCTTCAGGTCGTTGTTTAGTGTAGGTACAGCTCTTCCTCCTCAACTCACTGATACAAACACAGGACAGCTACCTAGCAACTGTGTCGCTGACCATGGTGCTAAAAACAACCCTGCATTTAATGGGCGCGTCCCGCTCCGAGTTCATTAACGTGTCCAAAACTACAGCCAGATGTGCCACATTTTAAGACTCGTGGGGAAGAACCTGTATTTTCGGAATACTAGTTTATGATAACGTTTTATGACACATGTGAACTAAAACATTTTATTTATTTATTTATTTTGTTATTTTTATTTATTTATTTATTTTGGGGGGGGAGAGAAGCTTAAAGTGTTTGTTTGTTTGTTTGTTTTTTATTTATTCTAGAATAACAGTATGGCTTTTCTTTTAACAAAAGGGTCGCCACAGCAGGTAGCTCAGCATGTTTGATTTCATTCACCTGACACGCTTCCTCCCTAAAGAGAGATTTGTGTCTCCAGCTGGAACTGAACTAGCAACCCCTGCTTGCCGAGCAAATTTCCAAACTACTGGTTATAATCTTTTGTCATCCGTTGTTATATTCTTATAACCGTCTTATCTGCATTTCAGTTAACAGTGACGCCTCACAGCATGAAGCCCATGGGTTTAATCCAGCATAGGGCCTTATTTGTATTGGTCTTATATATTCTCTGTGTGTACACCTAACCTCTCACCCTGTGACAGCTAGGAAAGGCTCCAGCCCTCCTTCAACCTTAAATTGGATAAGCAAAAGAGAAGGGTTGGATGGATGCATGGATGGGTTCTCTCTGGGTGCTCAAGAATCCTCCCACAGTTTAAACACATGCATGGGGTTATGCATGAGTGGTCGCCTGCCTGTCTGTGTTAGCCCCATCTCGCCCTATGACAGCTGGAATGGACATCTTATTTTGTGAGCAGCTGTATTTTTGTGATATCAGCTTAGATTTATATGTGTGTGTTTATCCTTTAAAACTTGCTTTAATAAATTCATTTATTGCAAGTAGAATGACAAACTTCTGTTAAATGCCAAAAAATGACACAGTGGCCATCAGGTCAAAGGCCATATTAAATCTTTTTATGAAAACAAACATTAACTTGAAAGACGTTTCTATTGAAGAGGTGAAACGCGAAAAGAAAATATAGTCAAATATACCAATAAAAACAAGAGCCAAAAACAGTAACACATTAGGTTACAGCAGTTTTACATAATCAGTATAATGTAGACATAAGTCCACTATTTCTGACTGGTACGTGAAGGCAACATTGCACCGAGCAAGCCTTGCCGGGGTATTCCCATATGACCTGAACGCAGCACAAAACGACAGCAGTCAGAGGTGAAAAGTCTGGATCATGTTGTCATTCCAGCGGAGGCATACTTGAATGACAAAAGGACCTTGATCAACAAGGCGGTGAGCAGAGCACATCGAAGTTCTTTGCACAAAGGGAAGACATTGATGTCGTTTTCAACCAGCCAGCTAGCAAAAGCTGATATTTGTTAGCTAGCTAACGGAGTACCCCCCGTTAGCTAACCGCCACCATCATCGCTCCTAGCCAGCTGTGGATCGCCCTGTCTTCCTACCATGGGAAACGCAGCAACTGCCAAGAAAGGCAATGAGCAAGAAAGCGGTGAGCACCTGGAAAGCATCCAGCTGGCCTCGCAGCCATTTAACATTAGTTATTGTGCAGTGTGAGCTTGCTTATAAAAGTGAGTGGAGAGCAGCCTTTAGCAGTTGTCCAGTGTTAGCGGGAGACTACAGTAATATGGTTTGCAGAGAAGAACCATCTTTGGTAGGGCAGTTTATGAGGTGTGTTTGCGGTCTCGTAATGATTCGTGTTTGTTTACCTCAGCGGAAAACGGTGCTACAGTTTTTACAGTCAACTAATTATTGAGAAGGATAATCAAGGATGTGGTAGTGTGATCCTCAGCATCATATTCTTTGGTTATCTAAATCAGTCTGTGTTAAAGACAGCATCTCAGAATAAACTGTATTAAGGCTATGCACTATAACACTATAACGATTAAACGACAAAGCATCGTTTGCAGTTTCCAAAGGGCGAATATCGCGTGTGTAGACCCAGATAACATCAGCAAACATTTGTTTCCACTGAAGCCGCAGAACAAGGCCTGGTCAGTGCTAACAACAGGTATCTGATAACCACCGACTCACAAGCTGACCAGAATGCTGCTTGATGTGGTTAAACCAGATTAATGGTCGTGTAATAAAACATGTAATTGCTTTGTTTTCCACACAGTGGCTGCATAAAAAGAAATGACACTGTCTTTCCCACCTGGTTAACACTGATGTGCCAAGTCAGCTGTCAACAAGTCTGCTGTAAATTAAAGCGTTAATGCCTCTGATCACTGCTTTCTTATAGTGATATAAAAGTGTTGTCCTGATACTGTAACATCCAAAAACAGCAAAATCTTAGTCAAACTGCGACTACTGGAGAGGAATTTTGCATCCTAAAGCACTCTATTAATCACTTGAAGACGTAGCCAGAAGGCACTCTGTTGTGTTTGTGAGTAGTGACCAGCCTAATCCATTAAACTGTGCCATTCCAAGTGTTCTGTCTGGAGAGCACTGTTCTTGACCTGCTTTCTGTTTGGCACTTGTTCACACAGTCTTAGCGACTCATGAGACCTGTAGTTTCTGCAGGGAGGGGCTTGGAGTTGAGTAGAATAACACTGTGATGAATGAAGAAACTTAACACACTGTTATTCTGTGTTATCTAGATTTCTGTTCAAATATTGCACATTAAATTAAACTTATCAATACTGGATTTATAGGTACAGAAAAAAAATGTTTTGCCATCAGGATGTTGGTCAGTATGGTTCCTACATATACATATGCAGATGTGGTCAGGTGTTTACATCCACTCATCATGGAAGTGGATATCATAGCAATTTTGGGCTTTTGATGATTTCTTTGAAGTGTTCTTTTTCCAAGGTGGACTGATTGTATGGCATACGTCCTTAATGACTTTAAAAGCAAGAATTGGACCAAAAGTTTGAATATTTTCTTTAATCCACACAGGGTCAAAAGTATGCATACCAAATAGAGCAGGGCGATATGGCCAAAAATATTTATCACGATATATATTTGAAAATTTGCGATAACGATATAACTGACGATATAATTGATGCGAGACAAAATACAACTCCACAACATTACTAGCGCAAAA